TTTTTTTTTTTTTTTTTTTTTTTTTTTTTTTTTTTTTTTTTTTTTTTTTTTTTTCTTTTTCTCATTTTATTTCTCCGAGTGTATAAAAAAAGGAAAGGCAGGGTGACGGCAACCGATCCTTTCTTTTTTCTCTTTTCTTTTCGCTGACAACGATTACTTACATTACTTTACTATTACTGACTTTTACCCATCTCATCCCTCCCAGGACATGTACAAATCCAACACCCTCTCCCTCCAACACAAGAGCATCTTCATCCAACAGCACAAAATGAATGCATTTCCCGAAGAAATTCACTGTCATCAAGATGGCCGTGCGTGGCAAAAAGGTGATTTTGCAATCCACATGGCTGGTGCGTGGGCACATGTCAAATGGGCTGATGATCCCACGGGCTGGTTGTTGAGAAAGTATGTGAATGAGGTGGTGTAGTAAAAGATTTGGTGAATTAGATACCTAGGTACCTGTAGGTAGATGATTATGTATGTACCTACCTATGTAGGTATATCTGCTTTTGGGTGTTTTTTTAACAATAGAAAAAGAAAGAATATTGTGATATCAATGTGAGTTTTCAGTGCAGACTCCAGAGCAAAAATGCAACGGAAAATTTCGACTCGTTGGTCTTCCTGGAGACCTTACCTGGTTGCTGTAGACCTCGTAAGTATAATAATACCTCCATGGTCTACGCGTAATCTCCATTCTGAGTGGAGATTTTTCGAGAAACAGAATAATGTGACGTCGTGGCTGTCCAGTACACATGTAAGGTACCGGTAGGTACATGTAGGCAAGGTATTTTCTTTTCCGAGAAGATAAGAGAAGAAAAAGCAGAAGTCTGTGAAAAAAACGAATGCTGCTGCTTTTTTCATTGTGCAAGAATGCGCATGAGCAAAGGAGAGCGCATTCTTTTACGATATGTATCGCTGTGCAAGAAGAATTCATGAGTGGTGCGGCTCTCGAAGTAAGAGACGAGAGAGAGGGAGAGGGAGAGAAGGGAGATAAAGAAAGAGAGAGATGGCATACAACAAATAAAAAAAAACGCCTAGCTGTAACAAAAAACAAAAAGACTTTCCGCTCGCTCAACTTGCCTTTTCCATATAGCAGCAGCAGCAGTAGCAGTACATAACTCCGTCACACAATCATCATCATGTCCCCTTCACAGGCAGTCCAGCGGGGACATTGGCAGATTGCAAGATCCTTTGCAACGGGTCATATTCAATCTCTTTTCTCCTCGGCGGCGCCCTGCCCCAATCGTCTCTTCCTCTGTCATCCTCTCTTTCTCTCCTCCTGTCACCAGGGTGAGGCCCCAAGTACCTCCCATGATGATCCTGATGTCCACTCGCGACGGCAGTATTGACAACGGCATTCGCGCTCCTCTCCACCGCCTTTGTCGAACGTTCCACAGCTCTTGCACTCCTCAACGAAGCATCTGCAGATCGCTCTGCGGCATCGGCACTTCGGTGAGAACCTTTGGCGGAGGATCTAGAGGCATTTGCGGACTTCCAAGTGGGCATGACTGCGACGATTGTTGCTGCTGAGGCTAGAGTTGCCCAGAGAGTTTTCTTTTTGAACCATGGCTTGTCTTCTGGCATTGGCATGAGGACATCTTCATACGCCGGCTCGGCTCGCCTGTGGCGTCGGGGAGAAGGCGAACGGGAGCGCGAGTAGGACGAGTAGCGTCTTCGTCTCCTGGGTCGGTCCCGTGATCGGCGCGGGGAAGGTGAGCGAGACGACATCGACGAGGCGGATGGCGCCCTGCTGTCATCCATGAGTACGTGTACCGGGCGTAGTATGGAAATGTCTGGTTCTACCTGGAAATCTGGTCGCGACTACTAGAGTAGGCGCTATCGTAGCTTTGTCGTCCGTTAGGTGTTGGTCTTGATCTGGCGTATGGATCTCGCGCTCTCGGTGGCATGGTCATAGAGTATCCACGAGGTGTTGATGCATCGTGGATCGGGGACGGGTCGTTGTCTTTCAAGCAGCAGCAAAGAATGGAGTTGGGCACGCAAGTCCCACGACTCGCGAGGTTGGGACGAGTGCCTGATATAGAGATGTGGGAGGCGAAGCAGGCCGGAGCAGGTGTCTGGTGTTATCGATCTACCGACCTCCTCCTCCAAGGCCACGGAGTCGGCCATGGTGGGCTCGGTGGGCTCTTGGTCGCGGCATAGAGCCTGACATCATGCCGCTCCATCTTGTTGTGGATGAAGAGAGTTTGGGCAGCGGTCGAGCGAACAAGTCCGCGGTTCGCAGTGCCCAGCCATGGTGTCCATCACAGACTTTGGGGAAAAAAGGAAGATCCGGGCAGATGTGCACAGGGTTGCCTGAGACGGTACCACAAGCGCTTTCGTCGATGTTGCGCGTTTTGGTGATCGTTTCGCTGGGAAGTGAGGCTGGCAGAAGGTGAAACAGGTGGGATGACCCCAGCTTATATGTACCAGAAGCCTATACCGAAAGGCTGATCCCTGCGAGAACGGTGTTCCCGCTGTCCAATATGAGCAGGACACATATTTCTGGCCCGTTGGATGAAGGATCCCGCGCCCGCCTTTCTGACATGTCGTGATGTAACGACATATAACGGCCTTTGGGCATCGGATCACGTCGTGTCACCTGCATGTACATCGGCCTTCTTCGAACATGCTGCCATCGACTGGTAGGAGGTAGGAGGTAGTCGTCATTCACTTGGCTGGGCAGAGCTGGGCATCAGTCTGCCGTGGGGGATTGTGCACATCTGCCAAAAGCAACATGTGAAAGCATAAGTAGGTACCTGTAGGTAACAACATGTTCCGCGCCGTCGGGCCCGTGGCTTTGCGACCATTCATTGCCGGGTGAGATGCACGAATGCAATGCACTCAATCAATAGCGACTTCACACGTGTCGCTCATCCCTGGACATCTCATCACTCGGCACTGCACGAAGTCGTCGGCTCGTGCCAGATGACTGCCATTGCTAGACGAGCAAATCATCGAGCGCAATCCTTCTTCTGAATGCTTCCAATGCCATCAGCCCTTATGCGCAGTAATACCGCGATCGACACTAAAGGCACGCGATACATAAATTTAGTGCAAATGCTCCGGCTTATAGCAGGATTGGCTTTGCTCTGTCATTTGGCGTGTGGGGGTATAGTAACGACCTTTTCCCCGGAGCTCAGTTCGTGCTGGGTGTCGACTACAGTACATCTGTTCATCAGCTCTCGGGTCTTGTGATCACCGGAATTCAGGGAAGACAGCGAACGCGGTCCGTATGCTGGCATGCGCTCCAGTACTGCCAGCTCTGCCGGTGGTAGCGAATGCCTCGAGGTAGACCGTATCCAGCGTGACTTGACGAACATATCCCCTCCGTGGCATGGGATGTAAGATCTCACCTGCGGACCAGCCTGAGGCGCGCAACGCTGTGAATCGTCTTCGGATTCCGTTGCAATTGCGTGATGATATGTCTGGGGCATCGTAGCCTCTCACGCAGCAGTGAGAGGTTTCGTATTCCCGATCTTGTGCAACACGGGTGTCCTATGTCCGGCTTCATGCTACTCTTAGAGACAAGTCCCAATCCCACATCAGCTCGCACTCGAGGAACGCCGATGCACCGTGGACTTGTAAGCTCAAGCTCCATCCAGTCCATTGTTATTCCAAGCCACTCAAGGGGTCGAGACACGTGTTTCGCGTTCTGTATCCTCCTCCAGCTCCATTTCTCCCTCCTCTTCTCTTCCATCTGCGCGGTCTCCAACGTGTTCCAGTCCGAGGCTGTCAGTGTCTCTGGTCAAAGTCCGCCTTCGAGTCCTGCTTCAGCATAGCAACGTATGCGCCCAGTGACGCAGCTAGGTGGTAGAAGTATTATAAGTATTCCCACCTGATGGTTTGTGCCTCCGACCTCTTCTTTTCAGTCATCTTCCCAACGTCTCAAGAGGATGAGTGATGCACTATCGCTGCTCCCTCAAGTGTCGCTGTTGTCGTCCATCCACTGTCCCGGCACCCTGCCAGACCTATGGCCGTCTGGACTCGGGAACGCTGTCGAAAGGGTGGAAGACTGGGAGTTCCGTCATCTCGTGAGCTCGTGCACAATGGGCTTTCATAGAATGTCATCTCCGACAACAGCTGCTTCTCTGCGCATTCATTTCGGCCACTGTAGAACTACACCTTGGCTAGGAAGGATTCTTCGAGCCAACGAATTCCGATGGTAAACGCACGTGGAGAATTCTACTCTATCCTCGTCTATGTACCTCTTCTTCCTCCTTCTCCACCACCCCCGCCCTTCGGCCAAGCGCCTCTGCTTCCTCAACCACGACAACATCGGTTACAATACAAAGTTTGCTTGATGCATGCCGCTATCCTTCAACATTCTTGTTCTAGGGACCATTCAAGACTTGCTATAAGCCTCCAGCCGCCTAAGCTTCGAAAAACATGCCAAATAGAAGGCTCGTGATTGGTCCTGTCCGGTTCCTTGCTCTCGCGTGGAAAGCATCTTTGGCCTCATCCCGGCAATACTTCTAATTAGTTCTCATCGAGAGGTCAGAGGAGCTTGCCAGAGACGGGAGCAATGAGCAACTCATAAGAATGTAGACAACGCCCGCACGCAGAATGTGCTTCTCGTAGTAGCGCGTCTTTTCGAATCCTTTTCATCCAGAGAGACAGGTTGAGATGAAGGTCTTCATTGTTGTCTCGGTCCTCGCGTCGTCTCTGCTCGCAGAGGCGAGCTGGAGGAGAAACTTGAACTACGCGTCTCCTTCGCACAACCACCCGGGACTGGGCATATCGCTCCACAAGGTCAACAAGCGGAACACGTGCGTGTAGAGGAGACATTGATCCATATCATGCACGACTTGAATACTGAGCTAATCATGATGCAGTCCTGGTCAGGCATTCCATGCATCGCAGCTTAACTTCACTCATGGCGTGGCCTCGGGCGATCCATACCCAGACTCCGTCATCCTCTGGACTCGTCTCGCTCCCATTGCAGCATCGAATGACACGGCCAGCAACGCCACTGTGAGCGGCTACGTCCCACTCTACAACCATGGTCCCAAGCAGGTGTCCACTGCCCCAGTCTGCGCCGAGTGGAAAGTGTCCAAAACGAAGGACTTCGAACACGTGGAGAGCTCCGGCACAGCATATACCTCGAGCGACATTGACTACACCCTCAAAGTCGAAGCTACGAATTTGACGCCCTGGACCAGGTACTACTACCAGTTCAATGCCTGTGGCAGCAACAACACGAGTCCGCTCGGTCGTACGAAGACGACACCGCACCCCACTGACTATGTTACCAACGTGGGCCTGGCGGTATACTCGTGCAGCAACTTCCCGTTTGGCTTCTTCAACGCATATGGCAATCCAGCGCGCAAAGACAGCGTTGACTTTGTGATCCACCTGGGCGACTACATTTACGAGTATGCTGGAAATGGAGACTACGGTTATGGCTACTCCATCGGCCGCATCCCGAAGCCAGAGAGCATCATTTACACTCTGGACGACTATCGCATGCGCTACGCCACTTACCGCACTGATGAGGACCTGCTGCTGTCCCACCAGAAATTTCCATGGATTCCGGTCTGGGATGACCACGAGGTGTCGGACAACACGTACCGCGACGGTGCTTCCAAGCTCAACAACACTGAAGCATCTTTCATTCAAGATGGCGGTGTTTCCGTGGATCAGCGCAAGATGAACGCTGTCCGAGCATATTTCGAGTGGATGCCCATCCGCCAAGTTGAGCTAGATGACAACCTTCGCATTTGGCGCAACTTCCAGATCGGTTCTCTGTTCGACTTGATCATGCTGGACACTCGCCAATATGACAGGTCTATTACCGATTTGTATTGGAACACGTAAGTACCTACCTACCTAAGGTTGCAAATCAGACGAAGTCAACGTCGTACTAACATTCCCTTTGCAGCGACTACATCCACGCCATCTCTAACGATGCTGGCCGGAGCATGATGGGCAGTAGGCAGGAAAACTGGTTCTACAACTCTCTCGGCGACTCTGCCAACCGTGGCGCACGATGGAGAGTTATTGGCTCGCAAACCGTCTTTTCTCGCGTGAACGAGTCCGTCTCGTTCGGGAACGTGAACCCCCTCGATTACGATGCTTGGGACGGTTACCAGGCCAACCGAAACAGGACTCTGAACTTTTTGACGCAGAACGACATTGGCAATAACATTGTCATCAGTGGTGACAGTCACGCCTCGTGGGTGTCTGACCTCGCTTGGCTCGGGCATGCGAACTATTCCGCTGAAAGTGGAGCCGGCTCACTCGGGGTTGAGTTTGCTGGTTCGGCCGTCTCGTCACCTTGCCCATATGGCCAGAACATCACGCAGAAGTCTGCAAACAACTACTCCGACATCCTGGAAGCTGCAAATGCGGAGTTACACTGGAACGACATCTACTACCGGGGCTATTTTGAGCTCCATCTGAATTACGATGAGGTCAACGCGAGCTTCTTTGGCCTGCCCACGATCGTGACCAGGAACCCACTTGAGATCAGCTTGGCCAACTTCACGGTCAAGAGTGGCGACAACAGATTGCAGAGGCCGATTGCGGGCGGGGTTGCAGAGAGTGGAAGCCTCAAGGGTGGGCGCATCATGCAGAGCAACATGACCAACAACACCGAGACTGGTGTGTACACGATCAGCATGTTTGACCAGGAGGATATCTAGGAGGGCCATGCACATGGGCCGGATGACAGTAACGAGGCACGAGGTACGGCAAAGTAGCGGTATTAGTGGATATAGTGTACATATGTCAGATCTACAGGAAGCAACAGGAACGAATCAATAGCTAACCTTACGTGTATACAGCCTACAGGTACCTAGAGGCTAGGGTAAGGTATATGTACCTTATGTTACCTTGGCAGGGGAGTGGAAGCACATCAGGCCCACAGGCACAGGGAATGTGACGGTGACGTATTCGCGTGAGTGAAACGGCTAAGACAGTAAGGTACATAGAAATATTGGCTGTGCAGTCTCTGCCAGTCTATTCATGGCAACACTTTCGCGACTTCCAACAACTTCCAACAAACTGCACTGCCAACCCATCCATTCCATCCATTCCCGTCAGGTGACTTCACACATTGGACGTCGCTTCCCACCTGGCCTAGTAGACGCCCACCGTAACGTAAGTACCTGACAATGCCACCACCTCCCACCCTTTGGACGCCATGTCAAGTCAATCGTTTCTTCTCTCTTCCCCTTCCCCTTCCCCTTTCCACTTCTGCTTCTTTCACTACACCTCCCTCCGCTCCCTCATCCTTGGATAGCACAAACACGTCGGCGCTGGTCGTCAGACTGGACTACTGCGCTCCACCTCCCCTCTAGACAACTGTGACAACACAATCATCATCATCATCTCCAGCATCATCATAATCATGCGTCCTCTATTCCTGCTGCAGGCCACCTCAGTCCTGGCTACGACTCTCCTTCATAAAGCTCGCCCTATGGAATCGCGACAGGACGATGGAACAGTACAGATCCTTGTTACCAACAAATGCGCAGACACCATCTGGCCCGGCGTGTCTGAAAACAACGGCTTGTCCAACGACGGCTTTGAACTCGCCAGCGGAGACTCCAGAAACGTCTCGATAAGTTCGACCTGGAAAGGCCGTATCTGGGGAAGGACCAATTGCACATTCCCCAATGGCGACAGCTTGCCTGGAGGCTGTCTGACGGGAGAATGTGGAGCAATGAAATGCGTCCAAGCAGGGAATCCTCCGGCCACGCTCGCCGAATTCGACATGTCTGGTGCGGGCGATCAAGCATATTACGACATCAGTCTCGTTGATGGATACAACCTCCCCATGGCCATTGTCCTCATCCCCAACGGAGTCCCCGCTCTCTCCAATGTCAAGCTCAACCAAAAGAATCCCGCGTGCGTGGGAAGTGTCAATGGACTCGCGCCTCCCGATTTCAATCCTTACAGCGGCGGAAATTCCTATCTGGGAACGACATCGGGTGATGAACTTCCCTTTGAGAAGAGATCTACCGCGCAAGACGTCAGCTCCTGGTGTCCCTTTGACCTGCTGGTCTCGCCGCCTCCCACACCTGGTAATGGTGTGTATCCCTATCCCGATGGAAATATCCAACGACCGGCGTTCAACCCTTGCAATTCGGCATGTCTCAAGTATAGGAAAGCTAAGTACTGCTGTACGGGCAGCTATGGCAGAGGGAAATGCCAACCCAATTACTATTCTCGCGCCGCAAAGGCCATATGTCCCGATACGTATACGTTTGCGTACGAGGATACGAGCAGTCTCTTTAGTGTAGACAAGGGCGGAAGCTGGGAAGTCATCTTTTGCCCTGGTGGCAGGAGTACGAATATCCTGGCGGGAAGTCGTGCGACCTAAGTTAGTTGAGCTACCTTAGAAAGGGAGGGCAAACGGGAGCAGAAGCGGCGGCGCCACGAGAGATGGATCACTTTCTGGCTACATGACCTGAGAGTTGCCGCCCTTTGTTTTTCGTCGATTTTTGGTCTGCAACCCCTCTGCCCACAAGAATACAGGATAGACACAGAGATACACTTAGACAAATATAGCCACCCAATTAATGTAACCATCGCCCGAGAAACAAAAAGTCATGGCATCACATGGCATCGCATGGCATCGCATTGCATTGCATTACATTAAGCTATCAGCCTACTCCCTGAGTCCCTACCTAGCCATGTGCTTACTTTGCCTGCTTGCTTGCTTACTTGCTAATGCTCTCTATCTTTCTTCCTCTCTGATAATCATCAAGCGTCGCGCGCGCGCGCCCCTCTGCTCGTCTTTTGGGGAAAACGTGTGCACGTATGTATAACAAAACAGTAGCCCTCCCCCAGTTCGCTGCTGCTGCTGCTGCTGCTGCTGCTTTGTCTGCTTTTTGGTCGTACCGAGAAATGAAATGCCAATCCATGGCATGGGTATGGCTTATGGGTGTCGTTGGGTAAAGGTCTGTCTCGCCTATCAAGAAGACTCTGGTCTCCTCTTGGGGTGTGGAGGTGTGTGTGCGCGCGCGATGTGTCAAGGGCTCAGCCCGAAGGGTATAATATACTTCGTAAGGGGGAAAAGCAAGCAGCACTCAAGCGATGGAAAATCGCCTGCCAAGTGCCGGTCGTTGTCGATCATAAACAGGGCGTGTGGGAGGGATTGGTCCCTCGCCCTGGAAAGAGAGCATGGTTCGTCCGCCGTCCTCGTTCACACATCAAAACTGTACGCCCTTCCTCCGCAGATATCCCTCTAAGAGACCATCCAATTGCCCCATCATATCCTGCACGTCCTTCTTCTCTTGCACGAAGAGATCAGCCATCATTGGGTGATCAGCCGCCACAGGTGTGACTCCTGTCGTGTCGTTGATCATCACCAGCATATCTCGCACTTCACTGCTATCTTCCATCCAGGCCTTCAGACTGTCATCGGACCAGGACTGCTGAGAGATTGTAGGCGAAGGTCTCGAGCTCGCGGGCGAGCGCTGCGAGAATGAAGACTTGGAGGAGTTGCTGTCGGCTGAGATGCCACGTGCAAATCGTTGTGGCGAGGGCGCTTTTCTGGTCGGCGCTGATGGAGTGGTTGTGGTCGGCGAGGACTGTTTTCCCAGCGCGGCGTCTCGCGCAGCCATGGCAGCTTTCTCTTGTGGCGCCATAGGCAATGGTGAGCGCGCTGTAGGCGTTGACTCGTCGTCGTCGTCGTCATTGTCTCCATCTTCAGACGTATCCGAGTCGTGTCCACTCGGTTCAGCATGCTGGTTGATCAAGCTAGGAGAGCTGGTGAGACTTCTCGGGCCTTCCACTTCATCGTTGCCCTCTTCCGCGTCCTCCTCGCGATAGACATCTGGTATATGTATGGATTCCGTCCCGTGCATAAAGGTGTGATTGGATGCTTCCACCGGACTTTCCGACAGCCGATCTCCTTCTTGCACGTTGTCTTGATCTTCAAACGGGTTGGTAGGATCATCGACGGGTGAGTCAAAGTCGTCCAGTTCCACCCGCTGCTTAGACTTTTTGGCTTTCGTGGGCTTACCTTCCTTGTCACCAAGTAGCATGTTCGTGAAGGGAGCAACAGAGTTCTGAACACGGGCCAGGGGTTTGCTGATGCCACTCGCCTTTTCCGATGGTGGCGGAGACTGCGCTGCTCGTTCTTCGGGCTCATCGCTACTGCTGACTTGTTGCAACGGCTTGACGTCGTTCTCGGGACTATTGCTGGCCATCTCGTACGCGACATTTGAGCCTTCCAGCTCCGCCACGAACGATGCCGGACCTATGTCTTGTGGTGCTTGTGGGGAGATCGGGTCCTGCTCATGATGATCGAGCGCAGGTGCAACCAGAGGAGAGGCGACGTTCTTGTCCGCAGGCGAGGGTGAAAGCTTGCCGCTGAGACCTGAAATCGACCTCTGGGATCCTTCGCGCTGCAACTCCGTAGAGCCCTTCTCTGAGTCGGCGTCGTTGGCACTCTCTTTCATCTTCTTGTCCTTTTTCTTGCTCTTGAACAGCCCACTCAACATGCCGCCGCTCTTTTTGGGCTTGTCTTCCTTCTTCTTCCTCTCGTCCTTCTTCGCAGCAGCTGAATCTGATGCTGAACTCGTGGGCTTCGCCTCTTCGAAGCTGCTACTGCGCGCCATTTCGATGGAAGGTGATTTGCCGTCTCTGGCTTGCTCTTCGCGCAGCAGGCCGGGAGTGAGGGTGATGCGGACGGTGTCGAGTTTGTCGTCCTTGAGGAATGAATCGGTGTTCCGAGATCGCTTCGAAGATTTGAGGGGCGCGGCTTCTGTGGCAACCATTGGTATACTGAGTGCATCAATGCCATGTTGTTGTTGTGACAACTCACCCGTCTTGGGACCGTGAACACCATCTGTCACGCCCGCCTCTGCCAACGCCTGCTGTGCCGTCGCGGCCTGTTCACGATCGAAGGAAGCGCGGTTAGAGCCGGTGCTTGATCGTCTTTCAGCTTCGGGATGTTCAAGTTCGGCCTTTTTCGCCTTTTCTGCCTCTGCGTCGGCCTCTTCTTGCGCAGTGTCTTCGCCTTGCTGTGCGTTGCCATATGCGGGCTCGATCATGTTGTCCTCGTCCTCGGTGGAGTACTCGTAATCGGATGCTTCCACATAAGTCGGAGCTGCGAACTGCACCGTCTTTGCGTTTCTTCTTCGCATCGCCTTCTTCAGGGGGTTTCTCGACTTTTCCGAATTGTCACTGAGCATTGTTGCGGACAGCTATTCATGGTCAGCAGCGTATCACGTCGGAAGTGGGCTCACGAACATCAATGTTTCGGTGCTTGTTCAATCGCGCAAGTCGTTCTGTGGGCGTCTCGATGTGCTCGGCAGGTAGGTAGCCTATGTTATGCTTAGCGAATCTGAGAGGAAATTCGTCTTGCAACAAAAAAACATACCGATACTACTATCCTTGACTACTCTGACGAGCCACCAGTAGCTGTTGCTATCGTCCAACAACACCATCGTGTCGCCTTTCGTAGCATTTGCCTGGCCTTCAACGGTGGCGACGAAAGTATGCAGGGCATACACGAACTCGAAATCGATATCTTCTGCTTCAGGTAAGCCCTCGCACGCGAAAGCGTGATCAATAACATCGAGTCGAGTATCAAGGTTTAGGAAAGCGTCATTATCATCATCATCATCATCTTCATCTTGGTTATCGTCCTGGTGGCCATGCTCAGAATCGCTGCTGTCCGTCATGGTCTCCGGCATACTATCCCAGGAGGCGTTCGAAAAGGTAGGCGACAGCGGCATGTTCAGCAGCGGATCGTTGACGGGGAGCAGAATATCCGCAATGTCCAAGCTCTTGTCGCTGGAAGCGCTTGGCGAGCGCATGTGGTATCCAGTATATGGCAGATGCCTGGTGCTTCGCATGAACGAATGGCTGGGAAATGGGCCTGCGATCGGGTTCCTCATCTGTGGGCCACGTTGATCACCGAGTGCGGGATCATCGTTTTCGTCAACAGTTGGTAGGAGGGAAGAAGTAGCAGGAAAAGGCCGTGGAAATGTGGCGGTATGCCAGAAGGCCCCCATCCGTGCCTTTTGCTCTTGGACATCTCGGTCCGTAGCATCCAAGACCAAGTCCATTGGCTCCGCGGTGCTGTCCGGGTCAAGCAGAGTGGTGTCAAAGCCCTGATCAGGCGTGTTATCGTGGTCCTCCACCATCCACGCATTCTTGCTGGGCCTCGTTTCCCAGTCCATGCGCAGGACACGTCCAATATCCTGTTTGTACCTACCCTCATGATGATGCTTCGACGTTGCGAATGGAATCCTGCGTGAAGTCGCAGGCTTGGAAGCCGATTCATCATCGGCCTCATCGTCCCAGGGAGTAGCAACATCAGCCGAAGGCGAACGTTCCCTTCCCACCAATCTCGACTTCAGCGGCATGAGCTGCGGCGTGACCGAGAAAGGCGACGAGTTTGGCGTCAGATCCGCAGGAGTCTGGTTGAAAGACTCCAGCGTGGCGATCCTGTTTGGTGTGGAGGTTGGTGTGCTGACGGCACTGGGAGACAGACTGGCCATTCGCGCTGGCCACGTCTTGTCCCTCAGGCGCGGCAACCTTGAAGCAGAAGGAGCATAGAAACGCGGTATGTACCCACCATCTTCGATGCTCGGCGAGCTCGATATCCTGTCCATCATGTCGTCGTCGCCCTCGCCCTCGCCCTCCCCGGCGGCGCCATCCTCCCCATGTTGGCCATTATCCTGGACGCGTTCCTTCGCGTCGTTGGCGTCGGCCGCATCGCTCGTTTTCGGTTGGTCGTCCAGGTTGGCGGATATATCCCACGCGTCTTGTAGGTTCTTTTCTTCCGAATGCCGCTCGTCGAGAACGTGTTGGACCGAGGCAGCCAGGTGTGGTGCGTTGGCGTCTTGGGCGGGATGTTTGGTGTGTTCGGCGGCGGTTGGGCTGTGTTGGTCTTGCAGGTCGAGAGTGTCTGCTCGAAGGATATTGGGGCGCGCCATGACCGTGGACGGGGGTCTCTACGAGTCAAGGACACAATCAATGCAGCGACCGGCGGGACCACGCGAGGTCGCTATGTTGAGGGGGCCGGTATGTGAGGCAGCATGGCAGGGGCAAGCAATAGTACTGGAGCGGCGGGCTAGCGAGTGAAGAGGATGAGTGAATGGGGTGAGAGTGGTGATAGTGAGGTGGTGGTGGTGGTTGTGGTGGTGGTGCAGGATGGCCGTGTTGCGAGTAGGATCAGCAGGCGCAGAGAGTGTGTCTCAGTGAATACTGTACTGGCTACTGAGAGAGGCAGGGCAGGAAATGAGGACGTCCAAAGACTCCCGACTACACCAAACAAGCACACCGGTGGCCGCAGGTCGTCGGAGACAGAGAACAGTGTATCAAACACTATCTGACTATCAATAGTTCTAGGCAATAATAACAATACTTAATATTAATAACAACAACAACAACAACAACAATCAACGTCCATGAAGTGTGCCGGGACGTTTCCATACTGCTGAAAAAGTGGTTCCGACCCCAAAAATGCCCCAAACTCTCGAAACAAACGGTCCGTGTGCTTGTTTCAAGCCAGGCACAGACAGGCATTGAGAATCATTTCAGGCACATGGATCACCAACTTTGTTTGCACTGTACCGAGTACATACCTCCTAACTACCTCCTAGGCTACTGGACTTTGAATCGTTCTTATTATTGTCTGGATATGGATGTAAAATACCGGTAAGTGTACATCTTCTCCTGCATCATGCGTCTGCCATCCACTGCATTGTCGTCTTTGACTCTTCACACCCGACCCACTGCATTGACATTCACGTCCTGCAGACTGACAGGGTAGCACAGTCTTACAGGTACAGGTTTGATATTGATTACCTTACTAAGTATCGGCTCGTGCCTCCTTAGAGACGTGGGTCGTAGGAACCTGCCGAGAAGTCCTCGTTGCTCGGGACTCGAGCCTCGACCACGCAGATCCTAGCAAGAAGAGCTCTAGATGGAATCAGAGGAGCTCACCACTCGTCTCTTATATCATTATATCACTATATCATACCTTATCCAGGACTGATCACACTCCATACTGACACTCTTATCACCATTCTCCATCATGTCTTCATCAGCCTCAAGTCCACTCACCCTTCAGATCCGCCCTGCAACGGAAGCAGACATCCCTCAAATCATAGAAATACAATTCTCCGCCTTCGAAGGCGACCCCTACCAAGAGGCCCTCTTCCCAAGTGATGACTACTACAGCCCCGAAACTCGCCAGGCCGCTGTCGACCGAACTCTCAAATACTGGAACACGGACCCTACTGCCCGCTGGATGGTCTGTTGTAGTAGTAGCAATACTTGTGAAAGTAGCAGTGATAGTAGTAGTAAGAGTAGCAGCAGCAGCAGCAGTAGTAAAACACACCCCGCCTCCACCTCATCCTCCTCCCTATCCCCATCAAACACCCATATAAACAGCAACATCATCATCAAAAATCCCCAAAACACCCCCTCCACCACCACCACACAATTCCCCCAAGACCGCCCAATCCTCGGCTTCGCCCTCTGGAACATCTACGCTCACCCCCGGCCCCGCTCCGAATGGGCCCAACTCCCGACAGTAGACTGGTGCAGCGGCCGACAAGCCGAAATCGCTCAAAATTTCCTCTCCATGAACGCGCTTCTGCGACAAAGAATCTGGCAAGGCAGACCATATATCCTCTTGAACTTGTTATGTGTGCATCAACGGTTTCAACGGAGAGGAGTGGGCATGGAATTGGTGCGATGGGGCATCATGGAAATGGAGAAGTTGGGGTTGGCGATGTATTTGGAAGCAAGTCAGGCGGGGTTGGGGTTGTATCGGAAGCTGGGGTTTCGAGAGGTGGATGTGGGGGTGGTGAGGGCGGAGGAGTGGGATGGAGATCATGAAAGGAGATATATTGCTATGGTGAAGGATTCTGCGATCACAGGGAAGGAAGAAGAAGGAGAAAAAGAAGAAGAGGAACAGGAAGGAGAAGCAGAAGTGAAAGTAGGTGAGAGGGCTTGAGTGTGATTGCGTGAAGTACTATGAATGGCTGGATAAAGAAGTTCTGGGAGTTTCTCTTCAAAATCAATCCTCATCACGCCCTGACTCTTTCCTCCTCTTCTTGGCTTTGACATTCGCGCTAGCGACACTCTGTTTTCTCTGATGCTCATCCAATGGCTGTTGTTCCTCGTCATCTTTCAGCGCACACTTGGTGACACTCGGCCAAGGAGGACAGATGTCGATGTTCTCTCGCGGAAAGATCATCTCCAGCACGCAAAAGAGAAGATAGTCCACAATGGCTACCAATACAAACAGTTTCCCCGCCCAGACTCCACAGCCGTAATATCGCTTCAGTCGATCCATCAGGGCGAAACTGAGGACAAAGTTCTGTGCAGGCTGCCCATAATGCTTGAATTCGTCATCGTAGTAGCCCTCGTTGTCAGGCGCCGACGGCGTGCCGGTGATGAGGTCGTAGACACGCTCCGTCCGACGTGCGATGTCGCTCCAGCTGTACATGTTCTTGACGAGGTCGTGAAATTTGTCTCGCCGGACAGTCTTGGAGGACGTGAGGATGCCGACAGCATCCGTCACGCCCCGGACCACGTCTTCGACCTCGGGCAGGACGAAGACTGTCATGTTCGAAGGGAGGACTTCTGGAACGCCACCGACTCGGGTTGCAACGACCATGAGCCCACATGAAGCTGCTTCCACGAGGACGGTGCCAAAAGCTTCCGTGAGCGATGTGCTGAGGAGGAGATGACCACGGACCATGACATCTCGGACTTCCTCGTGGCGGATGCTGCCTAGTAGTGTGACTCGCGCTTGCCCTGAGGGTGTATAGACGAGTTGCTGAGGTAAGCTATCGAGAGTCTGTTCCAGGTCGATCGCTTTGGGCCCGCTCCCAGCAATGATAAAGCGCAGGTTGGGATGTAGGCGCAGCAAGAGTGGAAGTGCAGAGATGAGCAGATCAGTGCCTTTGTTGTAGAACAGGCGCGAGATGACCACTATCGTGATAGGATCGCCAGGTCCGACAGGCTTGCTTGGATCAGGGGGAGGTGGCAAATAGACATCTTTGTTGCTACGTGATTTGAAGTTATCGGCCTCTGAAGGAGAGTATGGTCGGAAGTCGCGAGGCACCACAGCATTCGGGATAACAGACACTGCCAGCGGATTCAACGACGCTCGTAAGGTGGTGTTTTCCTTGCAGGTGTGGCTGACGCAGATGACATGACCAACATCGCTCAAGCTGAACTTAAGTAATTTGTTGGCCATGATACTGCCGGCGTCGCTGAAGCCGAACAGACTGTGATCGGTGAAGACAGTATGTAGGCTCATGGTCCGAGCATGGAGAATGGCCTCATGGCACAGGTTACTGAGAGATGCATGGCCGTGCACAATTTGGATCTGTTCCCGTATGAAGATGTTCCGCAGAATGGGAAAGGATGAGAATACAGTGGGAAAGGTGGTCGATCTGTAGACAACCCAGTGAGGCAGATGGTATACCTTGATGCGATTGGTCAGATAGCGTATACCACAGCGACCAGGAGAATCGTAGGCATGTGTGATGATGATGACTTTGTGGCCACGATCGATGAGTTTCTGCACAGCACTCAGTTGATGTCACTCGTGAAATGGCGGGCTCGAATGAGGATGACTTGCACTGGACAGCTGGTAGATATGGCTTTCAACACCTCCGGGCTGAGGGAAGAAGAAGTCCGAGACCATGCTGGAGAGATATGAGCGTCATGAGATGGCGGAATAGGCAAAGACGACTGACGCGATATTGTACGGCATCTTGAATGAGGTAATTAATGGCTGAAAATGGGACGAAAGAGGGTCTGGTGAGGACGATTTTATCGCTTCGGCCAGAGCTTGCGGTTGTTCAGCGTCTGCATGGCGTCAAGGTGTCGAGACCTCGCACATATGTTCCGAATGCGGTATGCAAAAGTGGTTGAAGCAGAAAAGAGTATACTCGTGTAGGTAGGTGGTAGTGAAAGAGGGAAGTGAAGGGATGCGGGACGAGCCGAATTATAGTTTCGGGAGAGAGGAACTTATGTCCATCTGTAAGCTACGGTATGCCGTAATTTTTCCATACAACATCGTCAAGAACTTCATCTTCACTTGCCTCAAGTATCTGGTGTGCAACAGTCGTCGTTATGAATGGGCTATACAAGCGGTACATCCCGCCCAAAGACGTCGCACTCCATTCAGGCTCCACACCGGCCACTGCTCCTTCGAAAGCACCACCGCCGCCGCCACCAGCACCCGAGAAGCGCAAGCGAGAGCGGACGGAAGATGAAGTCGCAGAACGCAAGGCGAAAAAGCTCCGCAAGAAGGGAATTGACCCTGCAACTGTGGCAATCACAATCAGCACCTCTAAAGACACCCGCTCTGCTGCAGTGACAGTGACGGAGACGGGTAAAAGCGCTGCATCAGTGAACATTGAAAAGGCTGCTCCTTCAGACGACGCAATCAAGGCTGCCAATGCCGCTGCTGAAGCCAGAGGAGACTTCTCGCACATCAAAAACAACAAAAAGCGACACAAACTAGAGGCAGAAGCACGGAAGGCTGGTCTGCGAGTCGCGGGCAAGATCGATGCGCCCAAGGAACAGCGTGACGATAGTCGTGAAGTGGTCGGGCTATCTAGTGAGACAACACCGCCGCCTGCTGTTGTCCAGGAGGTGCAAGAAGCTGCAGAGCTTGTGACGGAAGCGCCTATCAAAGAGAAAAGGAAGAGGAAGAAGGAGTCCAAGGAGGAGGTCGGCCAGGGAGAATCGCAGGAGGAGAAAGAAGCTGCAGAGCCTGTGACGGAAGCGCCTGTCAAAGAGAAAAGGAAGAAGAAAGAGTCGAAGGAGGAGGTTGTTAGGGAAGAACCACAGGACCAGCAAGACACTGCTACAGTCGAAGAAGCTCCACCTCACCCTACATCTCTGCCCAAAAAACGTCGACATAAGCTGGAGGCTGTGCTTACTAGTGGTAGCGCTAAAGATGAAGAATTGGTGGAGAAAGATGACAGCGACAGTCATCTATTGAAGCATACTTCATTACTGGGGAAGTTCAAGAAATCGGCCAAACGATCGCCTGTGCCAGAAGATACAGCAAAAACACTCGAAATCGAGCGAGTGACAGTGGATCACCTGGAAATTCCCGACGCAGCAGCCGATGAACTCACGCCTGATGAAGATCTAGGAAAACCGAAATGGCTACGAGAGCCTTTGATTGTCGACTCGGCCTCCGAGAAGAAACCCTGGACCGAACTCAAGCTTGATCCGCTCACGTGTGACCGATTGGAGAAGCTGAATCTTCATGGCGCTCTGCCTATTCAGCAGGCATTGGTGCCTCTGCTGCTACCCCCAGGAATTCCAGGTGCAAAGTCCCTACCAGGCTCAGAAAAAGTGCTGCCTGATGTTGTTGTAAGTGCGCCTACGGGAAGTGGTAAAACCGTTTCCTACTTACTTCCCATTGTCGAGGCCCTCCGCCACTCCAGCGCAAACCTCGTCAATTTGGGCAGACTCAGTGCTGTGATCATCGTGCCCACACAGGAGTTGGTCACTCAAGTGGCAGCAGTGGCCGAGTCACTCAGCAAAGGTAGCAAAATCAAGGTTGGTCAATCGAACAGCAAGCACAGTCTGCGAGAGGAGCAGAAGAAGCTCGTTCATCGAGGACAACGATACGACCCAGCGGAATACAAGCGATACATGGATCAAGCGGACATCGCACTGGATCGTAATCGTCCAATTGACGTAAGATTGACTGAATATGCGGCATGGCTCGAAGCTAGTCAACCAGATCCAAAGACTGCGCAATCGATCGAGACCATGCTGGACTCATCCTGGATTGATAATTTCATTCCAACCTACGAGTCGCTTATTGACATATTCGTAAGCACACCGCAGAGACTACATGACCACATTGAAAACACGCAAGGCTTCACACTTGAGAATATCGAATGGCTTGTTCTGGACGAGGCGGATAGGATGCTTGACAATCAACACAGAAGCTTTCTAGACCTTCTCAACCAGGAAACATACCGCGAGCTTCACGTCTATAGGGATTACTCTGGATCGCAGCCTCTGCAGCATCAACCACCTCGGCTGCGCAAGGTAGTCTTGTCTGCAACTATGCCAGGTGACGTGAAGGTCGAGAATGCGTTTCGCCTGCGGTTCCCAAAGCTTGTGGTAGAGCGTGGTGCAGAGGCGTCCGAACAAGCCGAGTCTGGGGCACAGGCATATGCCAGGCGGGCGAATGCTACTGTCGAGGGACATGATAGTTCAGAAGATATGGAACTGCCGGCATTTCTCAGAGAGTACTGCGTGCCCACGGGTGATGGAAGTGAGAAACCGCTTGTCGCCATTGAGCTTATAAGATCGAGAATCCTCTGCCAGACCGAGGCGAAAAGCGCTGAGACAAGCCCAACCAAACCATCGAGAAGCAGTAGCGTGGAGTCTAGCTCGAGCTCAGACTCTGGAAGTGAGGTCTCCTCGATCAGCTCCAGTGACTCTGATGACAGCTCCGACGAGAGCGATGAGGCTTCGTCTGACATGGACATAGACTCTCCACAGGCCACATCTGTCCGTCCAAGGTCCACCAGTCACGCCGCGGACAGTCTGTCCAAGCCACTAACACATGACGAGAAATCTGTGGCCCCCACCATTCTGCTCTTCACATCGAGCACCGAGACTGCCCATCGCCTGACGCACCTCATCAAAACTCTGGTTCCTGACTGGAAACCATATCTTCACACCATTCTTAAAAACACACCGAAATCGCCACAATCCAACCCGTCCCAGCCACTCATCGTCATCTCCACCGACCGCGCGGGTCGTGGTCTTGACGGCTTTGCAGGACGAATGTTCACACATGTGGTGCAATATGATGTTCCGCGGTCGCTGACTGATTATGTCCATCGAGTCGGTCGCACAGCACGAGCGGGAAGGGCAGGCGAGGCTTGGACGCTCTATACACATCGCCAAGCAGGGTGGTTCAAGGAGGAGGTGGTGAGGAGCGAGCGGATAGGAAGAAAAATGGCGGTGGAAGAGACAAAGGTGGGAAGAGCGAGTGAAGAGTTGAGCCTGAAGTACAGGCAGGCTTTGGAGGGGATGAAGGAGGAGGTCGCTGGTGGGAAAAAGAAGAAGTAAAAATAGCGAGCGACAGGCTGGGTCTCTGCGGAGAAGATATTTCATTCGACTGCGCGCTCGCTTGGAGCCGAGTCACGGAATGTATAGCTCAATATGTGATTGATTGGTCGCTTGTCTGTCCGACTACATGTAGGCAAAGATGTGAAGAAAGAACTGAAAGTGTGCACATAAGCATGTACTACCTCGGGTACCTGTACCATCAACAAAACATCAACTGAATCCACGAGAAGAAAGGCAAATGAATGAATGAAGTTAGGTAAGTAGGCAGTTCAATCATTCCAAAAAGTTTACATCTCACATCTCATATGGTATCATTGAAAACACACACACGCATGCCGCCCAACGCCACACCACACCAATAGTAACCTAACCTAACCAAACCTGGTTACCTACTCACTCACAACCGTCTTCACAATCACACGTCATGCCCACACGTCGTACACACCAGCCTCATTCCCTCCTTACCCTTCTTTTTCGCACTAAAGCTCGTTCCACCACACTTGGGACACCGCTCCTCCTCGTCCTCCTCTCGCGCATCCTCGTACGTCTCGCTGCCGCTCTCATCCGTCAATTCATCGCTGAGTTGACTCACCACTGTCCCATGCGAATTCTGTTGTTTCAACGGAGGGCGCAGCAGCATCGTACCCGCACCGTCGCCGTCGCCGTCATCTCTGCTTCCAGAGCGATATGCTCCGGTCGCGGCGAGTTGGTCTTGAGATTTGTGGAGGTCGTTGATGCGATTGGCGTGGTCTTGCCAGAGCTGTTTGTCCCAGAACATGTACGATCTGCCAGCGGGATCGAGATTTAATGCGTTATTGTCGTCCTTCGTGGAGCTGTTGTAGCGAGGTGAAGTTGGAGCGGAGCTGTTGTGGGGTGGATCGTTTCCATTACGGTGGTCCGTGCTGCCATTCATGGGCGCACGATTGATAGGTGAAGGAGATCGGACCATGACACCAGCGGCGAGAGGATGTGAGCTAGGCAGAGGCGGTTGGGCAGAGTTGACGCTGGTGGCTTTGTCGCTCGCCCCAGGCATCGTCCGACCTCTTCTGCTTTCCGTCGACTTTTTGGGTGAATTGCTTCGGCTGCGGTTCGATGCTTTGGTGGAGCTTCGCACCGGTGGATACGACTTGGATGCACTGCGTGCCGCCGCTGCCACGTTTGATGTGCTTGACAGACCTTGCTGCCAGGAGAGGATTCGATCACTGCCAGCCAATGTCGAGGTCGATCGTCGTGGTTCGCGTAAGCTGGTCAGGCTGGGCTTCGAAGCGAGTGATCGAGCGACTCCCGGTTTCGTACCCCTCTTGGAGAACAGCGAGGCACGATCGTCGTCTCTTTGTCGCTTGGACCATGCGCAGTCTTGTCGGAAGACCTTGATCCTGCCAGAGAAGTCTGCGGTAACAAGGATATTTCCCCCTTTGTGCCCAGTCTTTGCAAGGTACTGCGGCGACTCTTTGGGTCTCTCGAAGTCCGGCGGCGTATGAACGACACTGCCAGTAACGCTTTGCGGCTGCGATGAAGAATGTACACTGTCCGCTCCAGACCGTTCTGCATGGCTCAGTAATGTGATGGGGGGAGGGTTGCAGATGTCGTAGACTGGATCTTCTGATCTGCTCAGATTCTGTCGTGTCTTGGTGGGCGCAACGCATACAGCCGTGGCAATGGAGTTATGTGCATCAAATATCTCCAGTGGCGTCTTGTCACGCTTCTCGCCATACGGCTGCTCCAAAGACCAGATGTACGCTTTCTTGTCTTCGCTCCCGCAGGCGATATATCTGCCATCATCGCTGAGACTCGCTCGAATCTGGCTGCAATTGTTCTGATTGCCCCTGAACTTGAGCTCCAGACTCTTATCACGCCAGTTGTAGAGTCGGATACGAGAATCGTTACTTGTGATCAGCACCTTGGTATCGCCCGCAGCGGGAGTATTGAATGCCGTGATCCCCGTGATCTTGCTACCCTTGGCATTTTGACCTCGAGTTGATCGCACGTGGATTTGAGTCTGATACCTCAAACCTTCCGTCTCGAAGAACATGCAGAGGCCACTAAGACAGCCTGCCATGGCCGATTTGCCATCAGGCGTGAACGCGACAGCGGTGATCATATCCGGCACTTGTGCTGCAAATGCCACATTCTTGTCCGGTATGCTCCACAGTCGCAGCTTACAGTCCAGCGATCCTGCGAGGAAGAAGCGGTCGTCCTTGGGATGAAAAGCGATCGATGGCACAAAGTCATTGTGCTTGAACGTGCAAAGACATCCGCTCCTGCTCACATGCCATAGTCGCACAGTCTTATCCATGGACGAAGAGAGCAGAAAATTGTTCTTACTCCAGCTCAAGTCCAGCACCGTCGAAGAATGACCCTCGTACTCTTGAATGGGCTTGCTTTGGAAGACGGGAGCGCTCAAATGCTCAGCGTGAGCGGCATCACCCTCGCTCTCCAACGCTTCTTGCCGTTCATGCTTCTGCCTGTCCTCGGGACTGGCCAAGACCGCCCAAATCCTCACAATCTTGTCCGCTCCAGCTGCTGCAAGGTACTTTCCATCCCGGCTGAACTCCATCGCCCAGATCGTCTGGCTGGCATCAGGAATGGTGGGATTATGCTTCCTCCTTAATTTATTGCTCGAGCTCTGTCTCGAAATGTTGGACTTTTGATTACAAGACAACTCCTGCGCGAGGAATAATCGGTCAAAGTCCTTTTCTTGTTTGTACTTTGCCCTGACTTTGATATACGCTGGCGGCTGTGGATGTCTCGGACTGAAGCCCATATTATCCATCTTTTGCGTAAAGACCTCCGCGTCGTTCCCTTCTGGTCGATCATCGCTCGCAGTGTCCTCGTCTTCGGGCGTGTCGTCTTCGAGCGCATCCTTCTTTTTGGTGCCACCCATCAGCCTGCTTAAGAACGCCACAGCCTTAACGCCTTTCTTGATCTCTTTGCGCGACTCTCGGTCTCGATCGTGGGCGGTCGCGTCATTCGCGTCGATTCGGGATGCGGTGTCGAAGTGCGGTCCGGGAGAAGTGGCTCTCTGCTCGTCGCCGCCAGACTGGGACTTGTCATCGTCGCGCTGGCTTCTCCCATCAGCCGTCCTAGGTCGAGGCGTGCTGGAGTTGTTGCTGTTCAGCGTGGTCAAAATCGCGCTGGTCCGGCGGAGGATGTGCTGTGATGTTAACGCAGTCAGCATGCGATTTCTCCTTGCTTCCTGGGTTGATGACAGGACACAGCAGGAACTCGCTTACCTACCTGTGATAAAGGATCAATGCCGGGTGATTGTGGCTGCTGCTGCTGCTGCTGCTCGTGCTGCGGTCTGTTGTTCCCATTCGCATCCTCCCGAGCCTGGCCGTTGGTTGCACCAGCTGACGCATTGTTTGACAGCGTCCTGATCAGCCGGCCAGGCGAAGGCCAGCTCGAGCCCGACTCTGGTCGTCCTAACCCGCACCCATCGTCAGCCTCCACATCTCTGCCATACCTCGACGCTCTTTCTTGTTGGAACTCCACTTCACCTACCATGTTTCCCCGGCGTAGTCGGCCTCCCGCCACCAACCACCCTCGCGCTCAATCCCTCCGCGAATCCTCCAATCTCCTTCGCAGGACTCTGCGCTGGACTCGGAACTCCCTTTTCGTTGTGCGGATCGGTCAAGATAATGGAAGGGAGATGTTGCGTTCCGGCGGTCATGTCCGCTCGCACAGTGGTGTACAATAGGTATTATGATTATTATAGGTATCCCTTCGATGGTTCGGAGTTGCTTGCGATCGCGAGAAGTCCCTCAACATTCACTGCTAGGTAGTCCTTGTCGCATTATTGAATCGCGACCACGGCGACAATGGCAACCTGCCAACAACGAGCATGCGAGTGCTGTAAGATGGTGTTTCATTCGTCCCAGATTCTGCCTTTTGCGTGGGGGGGTTGGGAGAACAAGTCAATTCGGAGGTATGAAACTCTTCTCCGTTGGTTGGTTGGTCCGTTGGTTTGTAGAAACTCTATCTGTTATCTCGCTCGGGGCCCGAGGAGTCAGGTAGTCTCAAAGGTGCAGAGTTGTTGTTGACCTGGGTCCTGAAGGTAGACAAGAGGCTCAGATGGTGGGACTCACGAGTTGGTATATATCACAATACTACGAGGTCAATGAGAAGTTCACTACAGCCATATAAGGTAGATAGATAGACTACTGAGATACGACGGAGCTTTGACTTCATCGGCGCATGGCATGGGATGCAGGGCGACGACGTCATCATGTTCTCTTTTATCCGCCGGAGACACGCGCATCTGATATTACAATGATTATATCCACTTTAACCTCGTAGCCTCGTACTGATATCACACCGAACGAACGACGAACGGCGGAACAGCGGTAGAACTGCTTTTTTTGGCCCTTTTTCTTCTACCATCTACAATCTACCGAACTACCTTCATTCCATTACATGTATTCTCCCCCTGACCCCCCACGTGTCGTACATCATCATTGATCGCGTGAGACTTATTCTTGGGACATGCGGATGTGCACAAGGGACAGTACCAGGACACCGACAAATTACAATTGGGATAAATAAAATACATGTCAACGAAGACGGTACCGTACGCTACCGTATACCTACATGTGACCTTTGCGTTTTAAGAGGTACCTCACACGGTAGGATATTTGCCAAGAGGGAGGTTTTTTGGTATACGAGTATCCGTGAGAAACACTGTCTCAAACGCCCAGCCACCCAAGCGACGGGTACGGGAAGAAATCATGATGATGAAATGATGTATTGTGGGTTGAGGCGCATACATGTATGCGAGCCATCCGAGGACGACGCAGCGGCACGTTAAAACGGAGAACAGTACCTAGATAGTGATTGGTTCTGATAATATGATAATACAGTAAATTGTGCAACTTCTCTCTACTGCAGGGTATCATTTTCCTTCCCTCTTGTCATATCTTGGTGTTGTTGTTGTTGTTCTCTATCCTGAACATGAGTCGAGAGACAAAAGTCGCAAAAAAGAGTACACATCTTGACTCTCATTTTAATAACAAACGCCCCTGGCCATGCCATGCCGTGCCATGCCCATCAGAGTATCGTGATCCCCATGTCCCCAAACGCCAGTTTGCAATGCACTACACCCTACCATCACCTCTTTAAAAGTCCTCGTTAAAGGCAAAGTCACCGTTCATCAGAGGTGCCTCGAACCCGGGCGTAGCAGCATCGCTCTTAGCTTGTTGCTTCTTGATGCCCTCCATGACACCAGCCTTTTGGTAGTCTCCCACACGCTTCTCGAAGAAGTTGGTCTTGCCACCGAGCGAGATGTTCTCCATAAAGTCGAATGGGTTGGTGGCGTTGTAGAACTTCTGGTTGCCAAGCGCGAGGAGCAGACGGTCGGCCACAAACTCGATGTACTGGCACATGAGCTTCGCGTTCATGCCGAGGAGTGCGCAGGGGAGGGCGTCTGTCAAGAACTCTTGCTCAATCGCGACGGCCTCGACGATGATGCTCTGTACAACAGCCTTGGATGGCTTCTTCTTCAGGTGCGAGAACAGCAGACACGCAAAGTCGGTGTGCATGCCTTCGTCGCGCGAGATGAGCTCGTTGGAGAAGGTGAGGCCAGGCATCAGACCACGCTTCTTCAGCCAGAAGATGGATGCAAAAGAGCCGGAGAAGAAGATGCCTTCCACTGCAGCAAAGGCGATCAGTCGCATGGCAAAGGTCGAGCTCTTGTCACTGATCCATCGAAGTGCCCAGTCAGCCTTTCTGCGGATGCAAGGGATGTTGTCGATGGCGTTGAACAGGTATGTTCGTTGTTTAGGCTCGCTGATGTATGTGTCAATGAGGAGGGAGTAGGTCTCGGAGTGGATGTTCTCCATCATGATCTGGAATCCGTAGAAGCATCGCGCTTCGGGTACGGTCACTTCGGCACTGAAGCGTTCCACCAGGTTCTCGTTGACAATGCCATCTGATGCGGCGAAGAAGGCAAGAACATGTGAGATGAAGAAACGCTCGTCGTCGGTGAGGCGCTTGTTCCAGTCATGCAGATCCTTTGATAGATCAATCTCTTCGGCGGTCCAGAATGATGCTTCGGCCTTCTTGTACATGTTCCAGATCTGTTCCCTTGTCAGCGCGCGTGTCCATCTACTTTGTTGACGCGTCAGAGTCGCGTTATTGTTGACCTACCTCGTGGTACTTGATGGGGAACAACACGAATCGTTGTGGGTTCTCCGCCAGCAAAGGCTCCACCTCTTCATCGTCCTCCTTTATCGTCTCTGCCTCGACCTTCTTCGCTATTGGCTCAGGCAGGTCATCTGGAATGCCTTTCACTGGAACCGCGACTTGGTCGGATGCGTATTGTGCCTCGCGGTTCTCCTTGTCGGCCTCGGAGAACTGCACTTTCTTGATCGGGGACTCCATCTTGAATGCTTCAAGGGCTGAGGTCGCCTGCGAGAGAATATTAGAAGACTGGTCAGGGTCTGGCACGCGGCGGCGCGAGAACGTCATGATTGGCGAACCTTCTTGCTCGGCGTGGTCTGCACACTCATGGTAGATGTTGGTCTCTGTATGTATGTTCGGTGTGATGACGATGGATGGCGAGGACAAAGGATGTGAAGATGGCGCGTGGCAAGAGAAATCGCGTTGTTGTTGTTGTGAATAAAGAAACAGCAGAGAGAGAGAGAGGAAGATGTCTGCACTTTAAGGCTCAGTCGCGTCGCGCTCGATCGCGTGTATGGTCCGTGCACTGTTTGGCCAAGACCCACCAAACGCGTCTTCCAGCCTCGTCTATGTCCGCGTCTCCGTCTGAGTCGACCATACATGTAGGTACTATGATGATATCCGTTCTCGGCCCGCGTTGATGATGAGGAATCATCAGACCATTCTCCTGCTCAGGCCAGGGGCAAACATTGCTTTAGCCAGCACGTTGGGGGCACAAGAGCGGAAGCATGCCGGACAGCAGACCATAGGAACATGTAAGCACATACCTTACCTTTACTCAGAAAGGATATGTGCCGAGTCTACAGTAGAGCGACGCGATATGGCACTCTGCGCGCGTCCATCGGACATGGCTGCAGTGGACCAGGAACGTAGTGTGAAATCCGCTTTCTCCGTTGTGAGTAGGAAGATCTGAATGCCCTCCAAGTGCAGAGTGGCATATGAGCTTCAGCATGAGCTGACTGGTGGCGTAGAGGTAGACCACGCAGCGAGAATGAACACATCAAGACGTCAAGCTTGAAGACGATAATGAGGACGAGGACGAGGACGAGGATCAAGATGTGCAAGGCGACAGCGTGTGAAAAATGTCTCAAAAGGCAAATGTTTGTCGAATAAATATGAATCATTGTCGGGAGCACCCAAGGCACACGCGTGGCAGAAGACATTCGACGTGATGCTAGAACACCTACCAAGCTGCCTTAGGTTCCTTACCTTAGGTAGAACTCTTCGTCAAACATCCACCACAACACCAGCAACCTCTCGAGCGCCTCCTTTGCACAAGCCTCCGACCTACACGCATCTTCGACATGGCCACGTTCACTGCTCGCAGTAAGTCGAATGCCATCTCATGCATCAACTGATACCTGATCCGACCACTGACGCCGCGGCCACAGTCCATCCGCCACACCTGCGCCCGAAGCGACCTGCAACTCTCGGGACTGACAGCACCGCCTTCCCGCCCTCTTCCACTCCGCGATCACTGTCGGCCACAGCCACTGCCTTCGAAATGAACGTGAACGGTGCTCCATCGGCACGCGCTGCCACTGACGACCTCGACATAGTGGACGATGGCGACTTTGGCGAACCATCACGCACCTCTTCACCACCCTCAGAAGACTCCCTCCACGCGCCCGCTGTCCAGCGCTATGGCGCCGAGGACCTCGTGGGCATTGGCCGCCAGTGCAGCAATCGCCTGCCACCAGCCAGTGCCATCCAAGCCATGTTTCTCTACGAGTTGCAGCGAGAGACCGAGGCGGAGCGGCTCTTCCATAGCCAGATGTTCCGCCTGGCCAAGTCTGAAGACGAGGTCGCCGTCCAGTCTCGCCGCTTCGCTGGAATGGAGTCGCGCATGCTCAAGCTCGAAACTCAGCTCGCTCTACAAGGACTGGCACAGGAAAAACGCATCGCTGCCAACCAGGCTCGTCTTGCGGAGGCCGAAGGAAAGCTGAGTGCCATCGCCGACCAGCTCAACAAGGTCCAGGAGTTGAAGAAGGAGATCGCCGTAGCTGCCATTGATGAGGCCAAGCGAGCTGCTCAAGATGCCGTTGCTGCAGCCACAAACCACGCTGTGCCCTCTTCTGGTAAGTAGCATGACCACTCGACAGCATCCCCTGTGTTCGGTACCTCCCTGATCTCATGCTCCACTGGCATGCTGAGCTGGGAGACCGGCATGGCCGAGATAGGTCCTCATTTTCAGACAGAAACACTTGCTAACTCTTCACCCTGCTACTTCTAGGAGACTTCCCAACCGCCGAGTTCCAGAACATGCAGCTGGAAATCGACGTTCTCTTCCACGACCGCGACGGCATCATCGCCAAGCTCACTGCTGCCCGCGACCGCATCGAAGATCTCGTGCAAGACGTCCAGCAGCTCAAAATCCAGCCAACCGAAGGCCAGGTTTCCAATTCTGGTGGTGGTCCATGTTCTCCTCCCAGCCCGCCAGCCGCAGTCCAGCCTGAGGCAGTCGTCACTGGCGGCAGCAGCAACAACACCACCACCGCCACCGAGGATCTCGTCGATACGAGCATTCCAAATGGTCCGGAGTCCTCTCTCCCTCTGTATAGTATGTACGAAGAACTGACAGATTTGGTGTTGTAGGCAAGCCTGCTTGGACGGCTTCGGATGCTGTCCAGGAGAGGAAGGCGAAGGCGTTTTTGTGATGGGAAGCTTCCCAAGCAACACGCTTGCCTCCATGCCTTCGTACTTGCTGCTGCTGCTGCTGGATGCCACGAGGTGGTGTTCTGAGTGTATGTAGGGGTCGAGTAGGCAGCGTTACCAAAATTCACGGTGCGCATACATAAATGGAAAGGAAAAATGCCTCATACCTATTTCTTTTTTCTTTTTTCTTTTCTTTTTCTTTTCTTTGTTGATTTGCTCTGGAGAACTTTCCGCATGCCCAAGTAGGTACCTTCAGTACCTTTTACATCATACCTTACCTACCTGTACTCTCTCCCGACTTCGTCTCTCAGCTACGCTACCTACCTACCTTGCATGCCGTTTCGTTTTGTTTCATTGTGTCTAGGGAGAGAGAGGGCGGGGGAAGGGAGAGAGAAGAATAACCGCATCCCCAAGTTTCGCAGCTCCCTTAATTTTCTATTTATCAATCACAGTCGTGTCGTCCCCGACTTTCGAACTCTATCGCTCCAATGCACACGCAAAGACTCAGACCCATAATCCACCTCTGGCGGCGCCGCCGTCGTGGTGGTGACAGAAGCATCCGCAGCAGCAATTTCACTTCCCGCCTCGATTCCATCAGTTCCGACGCCGGTAAATTCGTAATTTAGGAAACCTTCATCGCCGGTGAAGTGCCTGTTTTTCGAGAGAGAGAAGATCACGCGTGTGTTTGTGTAAGCAGCGAGCCGCCGATATGAGGTGCGCATTGAAATCAACCAAAGCAAAAAGGAAAACGGAAGCAGCAGCGCTTAATGATGGCAAAATGACCCCATCCACATCATGCCCACAGATAAGGTAGGTAAGAGAGATCCCAGCACTACTGGGATCTCTTTTTGGGTGGGTCTGCTGCTTGCTGCTCGGCAGTAGGGGCAGGACCGAGAGTTTCGGGTGCTTTGCCATACTCCATCTTGTACTGATCCTTTTCCATCTCGAAATTCCTGCAAGTTGAAAGAAGAACAAAAAGAGGTTAACTGCCACCTCTTGTTTTTCGCGAAATCTTTTCAATAGCAAGCAGAAAAGCAAGGGGAAAAAAGAAGCACGCGTACGCATGATGCGAAAAGAAAAGGGAAATGTGAACTCACCATCCTCTCTCTGCTCCGCCACTCAAGAATGAACAGTCTCCATTCACTTCACAATCCCAACCTCCTCCCACTCCTGCTCCCCTCCATCCCAAATCGGGCACTTCGTCCGCTTTCTTCTCATCCCACCCCTCGGCAATCTGCCCTCGGAACCCACCACCCGTAAACTTCGACTGAGGCTTCCTCACAAACTTCGAAAACGAACACGTAAAGCAGTTGAAATCCTCTTCTCCCTCATTTTCCGGCATCTTCCCCGTCAGAGCCCGTCCGATGGCAATCATAGCAGCCGCATGAGTACATATCAATAACGTCTTGGGCTCATTCTGGTCAGAGTCTGCCCGAGAAATGATACTGCTGAGCGCATACGCGATGCGATCGTGCAATTGAGGAATCGATTCGCCATTCTTCGAAGGGATAATACTCTTCTCCGCTTCGACCAAATTCTCGAAATGTTCATTCAGAACCGAGATGGTCGCGGGAGAAGGATGATCGAAACGTGCTTGGCCGTAGAACTCGCCTACCCCGCGGTCGACGTGGATGGTGGCGTTTTTGCCAGAAGACTTTTGAGTTTCTGTGAAGGGTTGGAGCGTTTGGATACAGCGGTAGAACGGCGAGGAGTAAATGAGATCTACCGGTGGATGCACTTGTGAGAGGTGTTTGCCTAGTTGTTGGGCTTGTTGCACGCCGTAGGAGGCGAGCGCTGGGTCGGCCACGATGCCTGTGGGAGAGGGGACTGTGCTGTTGTAGTGGCCTGTGGAAGGGTCGACAGTCCAATTTGAGCGGTACTATAGGAGAAGAAGGCGTTCGTCAGTGCGGTTTCTTGGAGGGGAGTAGGAATGTCGATGTAGTGGGACTACCGAGCAGTAGAACAGTAGGTATGGCTTCGAAGAACGATGGATTTCTGGATAGACTTGATTGAAGAGGTCGACGAGAGCGAGATGCATGTACTTACGCCATGTCTCACGACATATATGACTTCCAGCATCGTCGTTGGTGGAGGTGCTGTATTATGGAGAATTATTGTGAAGCTGAGTAGTCACTGTTGTTTCCTTCAAGAAGGTGGCAAGTGGATTGTCACAAACGAAAGTTCACGAGATGGAAGTGGAAGGATGGAACAAGATGGGCCGAGGGCTGTGCAAATATGGAATGATGACATTCCTTCGTTTGTCTTTGCACTGGATCAAACATTACCTATGTACCTTACTGACCTACCTAATTGAGGCAAACAAAGAGCAGAGAGCACTACAGGCCAACAGTAGGTCGCGCATGTTGCGAGAGTGGTTTCATATTGATCTTGGCAGTCAAAACGCGGCATGGATTGTGTAGGTGAATTCAAGCTTTTTGGATTCGTTTGAGACATACATGGAGCTGGTCTAATGCGTGCACTCTATACTGCAGAATGCAGAAGCGGCAGCGGCAGCGTCAAGCAATGGTATAGAACTCCCGCGTGTGCCCTGCCGACATGCAATGTCCATTTGCCATTCCCCTCGCCGTTTCTCGTGGTGAAATTGGTGGCTTGTCATCATGCGCCATTCGACCTCTACGAAACACCTATCAAACTCCGCCTGTCTCCAGCCAATTCCAAGTTGAGTATCAGACCTATGCGGCAGTGATGGCCTTCTTCTGGCGTGTAGCACGTTGGCGGGAATTGAGGTGCGCGGTGCGGGCGACAGTCTCTGGGGCCTTGTGCACGACCTCCTCGCCCTCGGTCAGGATCAGCTCGATGTGGCATGGGTTGCTCATGTATGGGTTGATCTGGGTATATCATTAGTATCGCAAGACAGGGTCGAGCAGGGGGAAGAGAAGACTCACACGACCGTGAGCACGGTATGTGCGGCGACGCTGCTTTGGTGCCTGGTTGACCTGAATGTGCTTGACAATCAAGTTGGAGGTATCCAGACCCTTGGTGTCGGCGTTGGCCTCAGCGTTCTTAAGAAGCGAGGACAAGAACTCAGCCGACTTGACGGGCCAGCGAGCCTTGCTCACACCAAATGCCTTGCCTGTTGTATAGTCTCAGTATGTTTGTCCGCTTTCCGCGCCTATGTGTGTCTCCATCTATGCATCCCCGCACTGACGGCCACATCACCAGTAGATGGGCTACGTACCTTGGGCAGTACGGCCAGTGCTCCCAGCATATCTCCTCATGGGCACCGCCTCGGCCTTGTTCTGGACGTTGTCGAGATAGGTGAGGGCGCGCTGCAGCTTCCATCCGTTGATGGCCTGCGCAGTCTCGCGGGTGTTCTTGAACGACACACGCAGGTAGGAACCGCGAGCGCGGGCGCTCTTGGCGGACTCGATCTCGGTGGCGGCGTAACGGACCATGTCGTCGTCGGTGTGGGTGGGTGGGTAGGTGGTCGAGGGGGATGGTCGTTGGGCGTGCAGCAGCAAAGTCGAGATGGCTCCAGTCGAAATCTCAAAGTGTTCGTGCCAAGATTGTCCGAACTCTGTCCACTAGACTCCTCTTGGACTAGCTCCAGTGGACTTTTTCGTCGAGAGCTTCCCTTCAAGATTTCGTGCAAACCCAGCTTCACAACCCAACAACCACATCACTCCACTGCTCAATTCGATAACATGGCTTTCACTCCTGGAGGCCGAGGTGGTCGTGGTGGTGGTGATCGAGGACGAGGCGGCGGACGAGGCGGCTTCGGCGGCGACAGAGGCGGGCGAGGTGGCTCAAGAGGTATTCCACTAGCTTTCCTGAGCTTCGGACAGACAAGAAAAACCTGCTGACAATATCCAGGTGGCTTTGGCGACCGCGGTGGCCGAGGCGGTGGTCGCGGCGGCTTCGGCGACAGAGGTGGGCGTGGTGGCGGCGGCCGAGGACGTGGTGCACCGCGTGGGCGTGGAGCTCCTCGCGGTGGCAGAGGCGGCGCAGGTGCAAAGGTACAACAACTATCCTCAATACCTCTGTACTGACCCCACTAACTGCTTCCAGGGTGGTCAGAAAGTTATCATTGAGCCTCACAGACACGCTGGTGTGTTCGTTGCTCGCGGCAAGGAAGATTTGCTCGTGACCAAGAACCTGACTCCAGGCGAGGCCGTCTACGGTGAGAAGCGCATCTCCATCGACACACCCAACACCACCACCGGCGACGCGACCAACGGTGACTCTGTCACAACCAAGACCGAGTATCGCGTGTGGAATCCTTTCCGATCGAAGTTGGCGGCAGGTATCCTTGGTGGTCTTGAGGACATCCACATGAAGCCTGGCAGCAAAGTTCTCTACCTGGGAGCTGCTTCTGGCACATCTGTCTCGCACGTCGCTGACATTGTTGGTCCAACTGGTACCGTCTTCGCCGTCGAATTCTCACACCGATCTGGTCGCGACCTGATCAACATGGCCACACATCGCACAAACGTCATCCCCATTGTGGAGGATGCCCGTCACCCTCTCAAGTATCGTATGCTCGTCAGCATGGTCGACTGCATCTTCGCCGACGTTGCGCAACCCGATCAAGCACGTATCGTCGGTCTGAATGCTCACCAGTTTCTCAAGGTGGGCGGTGGTGTCCTCATCTCCATCAAAGCCAGCTGTATCGACTCGACTGCATCACCAGAGGCTGTGTTCGCAAGAGAAGTAGTCAAGCTCAGGGAAGAGCGCATCAAGCCAAAAGAGCAACTCACACTGGAGCCTTTCGAGCGTGACCATGCCATGGTCGTCGGTGTTTACCAGCGTGCCGGATAAGCCTTCGCTGCTTTTTGTCAAGATGAATATGACGATGTTACAATGGAACTCAGTTCGGGTTGGCGTTCTGTGGCGCAATGAAGGCGCATCGAATAAGCCCCAAGGACCAGGCTCGGAGAGATTGATTTTGACTTACTTGCTGTGTTAGACCTCATAACATTCTGTACAGCATTCTCACTTTCGCCCCGTCCATTTTCATGGACCGTCCACTCAAAGCGAACGTGAGCAGATGAAGTATACGCACGGATGTCAAATTGCAATGCAGCCCAAATTCAATGGCTATCGTTGTGCCGCTTTCGAGAAGTGCAAGAGTAATAAATTGCCTCGCTAACCCAATTTCCGATTCGTTCCTCTTGGACGACGTTGGAGGGAAGCAGGGCCTACACATCGTTTGTGGCGACTTGCTTGGACATGAAAGGAAATGTCCTATATTCATCTGAAGGTTCGTTGGCACTTCTCCTGCTTCTTCTTCCATCCTCATATGATGAACATCATTAGCTCTAGATCCGGAGCCCAACGTGGCGTTGATGGAACTTATTGATTAGTCTTTCTGACTTGAGGTTTCGATTGCACTTCGACAACATGATATTCCACCATGGACATGCGCTAATTGTTCTTGACAGATCCACTTTTGTTCATTGTACCGAATATTGAGGGTCAACCGTGCGCGCATTTCTTTGACTAACTGTAGAATAAAGAAATTGTTTTGCTTCTTTCACTTTCACCTCTTACAAGGCGGGAAACAAGAGGAGCTCTTCCCTCTTTGTCTATCAACAAGAAGATCTTGGCTTTCACCAGACACTCGTCCTTTGAAGTGAACTGTCGCGAGCCTTTTGCAATGCCAGTACAATGAATGATACTTTTCTGAACAGAACAAAGACGGACAAGATACATAAGCCGGAAATGAACTCCCCTCTCCAACTTACTCTCAACCACTACATTCTTCAGCACTCTCACATAGCGTCTGGTACGCTTAGCTAAAGATTCTAGTGTCACGAACATCACCGCATCCACAACACCCAACGCCACACACAATGGCCCATCAGAACTTCGGTTCGTTCGGGCGGCCGGCAGATGAACTCGCCATCGACCCCTGCCTCCTCAACTCAGGCTACAACACCGATACGTCCATGGCCAGCAGTCGACCCCAAGTTCCCCTTCAATCCTCCACGAAGCCAACTTCAGCACCTCTTGAAGGTGTCACATACTCGTTCCGCACGGACATTGGCTGGCACATCCCCGTCAAACACGAGTCAAACTTCTACCATCCCGAAGTAGGCTACTACGTTGGAACCCCTGTCCCATCTTGGATAGTGACTGCTGCTACTGCTCCTGTGCCCGCCCCTACGACCACCCCTACGTTCGCTCCTGCACCCGCTCCTGCACCCGCCCTTGCGCCCGAATTTGCACCCGCTCCCGCCGTGACAGCCTTCGACGAGCAGCAATACGTAGACTTCCAGGCCTACACGGATCTCAATGCGCATCATTATCCGGAGCCCAATGCATCAGGATCTACAGGGCCATATGTGCAAAGCACCTACCCAGTAGGTCAAGAAGTCTACGATGTCGATTACTACTCTGGCCTGGATCTCGACCAGCTCTTCCCACCGTCCACTTCCTCAAATCAGCCAGCAGAGCGCCGGCCTCTGACTTCACGCAGCGAAGCCCGTAACAAAAGACGTATCGCAGCAAGCGATCGTGCCCTTCGTCGCCGTGAGAAGAGGAGCCCCGATCAATACACGCCTCGACGCTCTTCCATCATCCAAGCCTGTATCTGCCATCCAGTAGCCGCAACGTTCGAAAAGGTGAAACGACCCGCAAACTCTTTCATCAACTTCCGCTCAGTGAGAACTTTGCCACCTGCACTCCTCGCACTGCTGCCCAAGAAAGAGCAAGATGAATTCAAGAGTAGAGGCAGACTTACAATTCTACAAGCGAAGTTCCTGTGGGATACAATGAAGCAACGACCGGAATTGGCTGGGATCAAGGAGTATTACGACAAGCAAGCAGAAGATATTGCTGCACAACACAAGGCACAGTATCCCGACTGGAAATTCCAGCCAAAAACTCAGGTCACACTCGACTTCGGCGACGAGAACTGCAAGTGCGGAGCGTGGACTGTCAACATGGAGGAGAGAGAACGGAGGAAGAACGGAGCCTGTGGGGAGACGAGCCCTTATCATGCTCACAATGCGGGCAGGAGCAGGAGCATTCGTGCTCAGCGCAAATACCACGACATCGATGAGGAGCCAGAAGACAGCGAGTCCGAGAGCGAACTTTCGGAACCGCCCTTCGATCTCGAAGGTGAAGTAATGCCGACTCCTCGCAACACGCACCGATTGAACGACCGCTTGAACTCGCAGCTCAATCGGGCTGATCGACACAGGATGTCCCCATCCCCAACTCCGTTCGCGACGCCTTCACGACGAGCGCCTAGTCGACGTGCTCACAAGCATGTCAACTATGTTCTAGACGAAGAGTCCGACGAGGATCTGGAGTGAGTTGGTTTCTGCCCATGTCCCCGCTCCGCCCCCCCCC